ATTTGCTCCCCTCAATGCCCAGGAGATGGCCGCTCTCCCTCTGTCCCACAGCACCTTGGGTAGACCCCGGGAGCATTATATTGGGAACTGTGAAGAGCGCCGACTCCGGAGTCAGCTAGTTGGATTCCCTCTGCCAGGTGCTGGCTCCTGGGAGACCTCGGGCAACTGACTTCTCTGGATTCCATTTTCTTATCTTTAATGTGTGGATGACAATAGTGTCCATCTAAAAATGTGATTGAGAGGAAACGTACCCACAGATTGAATACCGAAGTGGCCATGTCCCTGACCTAGAGTTGCTCACGAAACTGATGCCTCTTACAAACTCCAATTTTCTTTTTTTTTAATACTTTTTTTTTTTTAAAGATTTGTTTATTTATTTATTTATACAAGCACTGGGTACAGTCAGAAGCGCGGGAGGGTGAGAGAATTCACCAGAGCCAGAGCGGGGAGCAGAGCAGGCAGAAGGACCGAAGTACACTGCTGAGGGGAGCAGCGGGTGAGGCAGGAGAGGTCTGCGCGCCCTGTGGGACCCTCCTCCGGTGGCCAGGGATCGAACCAGCGCTGCAGAGTCTGCGGGCAGCTTTGCAACCCAGCACTCAACCGCTGCGCCACCAGGGAGGTCCCAAACTCCAATTTTTTATGCACTTATTGGTGTCAGTCCCAAATTTATTTTATTAAGAAACCCTTATATAGAATTTATTTACATAGAATAGATAAGTACCCTTCTCTGTATGTATTGCCCTACTACTATGCTATTACTGTTCCTCTACTACACGTGAGGAACCTGCTGCCCAGAGAGGTTAAGTCACTTGCCTAAGGTCACACAGCTGATAATTGTCAGAGCTGGGATTCAAACTCAGGCTCCTTGACTTCATAGTGTTTGCTACTATTTGATTGTGACATCTTTTAGAGTAACTGCACCGTACATATTTGCGGGGCAGAGATTTGATGGCTAGACAGACAGATGAACTTGAGTGAGTCCCTCCATGAACTGGAACAGAAAAGAGTACTCCATCCTTGCCCCTAGTCAGCTGCTCTTTGGAGGATTTGAGAGTTGACTCCCTAGCTCCATTCGGTTACAGCAGCATGTTCTAGAATGGGCTTGGCATGGCCAAGAATCTTCCTGAGCTGGAGGTATGATCCAGCAAGCCTCAACGATGAAGTGGATTTTATGGCACTGATTAGTCTCTTGGGCCCTTAAGGTCTTGAGTCCTAGCCCTGTTTCTGGGGCTGGGGTCAGACCACTTTCATGACTGAATCTCTCTCCCTCTCTCTGCGCATACATACTCTGTCTCTATTTTCTCTGGTGGGTATGTCAGCTCCTGCCTGTAGCCTCAGCTCTCCAGCACCAACTTTCCCACCAGTGCTGACAAGACACACACATTTTCCAAGTGCAGTGGAATCTCTGAGGACTTTACTTATTTCCCCAGGTGTCATTCTTCTCCCCACGACCCCCATACCCGCATTTCAAAATGTCTCTGGAAAATCCACTGAAAGTATAGTAGACCTGATGAGTTCCTGGTGACCTTGGATACCAGTATATATCTTATCCATGAAAAAATAGTGCATTCTGAGGCCTATCAGGATGATAACAGTGGGAACAAGGCCCCAGTGATCTTGCTTCTCACACCCCCCTGAGTCTAAGGGAGGTAAAAATGTTTCCACTTCCTGGCTTAGAAAGTCCTTCTCCAAAGATAGCTCTCAGGGCGGCCTGTGGCCAATCAGCCTTTTCTCATCATTTTACAAGGTCACTCTGTATAGATACCAGCCTTCCTCTTCCTTCTGAAAGACCAGAGTCCTCTGATAGCAGTTTGGGAAGGAAGCTGGTGAGAACCATGCTCACCATTTCTCCCCTTCCTGGGGTATATAAACATGAGGAAGAGGTCCAAAGGCATGGGCCCTTTTTCTCATTGGGGTTTGGGGGGGACTCACAGGTGATAATTCTCCCCATCATTCAAATGCTGTGAGAGGCACCGGGCTTCCCTATAGAAAATCTCTGCATCAGAAACCCATGTAGTTCAACTCTGACCTTTCTGAATGCAAATTGTTCATCTGGAAATAAAAGGAAGCCAGGCACAACACCCCCACAGCCCTCTCGGAACACCATCAGGTCGGGGAGCAATGGGGATGGAACTCACAGGCTGCAGCTCTCTCGGGGGAGGCACGCATGGTGCTGTCAAGACCCATTGCTTCCTGTCTGAGCCGGAGATATTTTGGTGGATGAATCTGGGCCTTCCTTTCCTCCCTCCCTCTGATGCTAATGTGGCCATCTGCGTCTCCCAGACAACCTTCACAAGCGCATACTCACCATCCTAGAAGAGTAGGCTGAGGAAGGGATTGCAATTATATATAGAATATTGAGTGGCTGCATAAGAGGTTGAGTTTGCCTGGCTTGCCAAGAGCAGAGCAGGGGCCTTGATGCCTGGGACCCATTCCCATACTCTGGAATGCTCACAAGTGCCCTCCCTTTTCTGGAGCTCCATTTATTATTTTATTTCTTTAATCTACTAAGCAAAGGACTTAGATCATAACTCCCCTAAAGTCTGCTCAAATGTTGCATGAACTTTTCTTTGAAGAGCTTAGTTGTATAAACTCCCAGCCACAGTCTGGGTCCAGTGGGATATCCCATGGTCACTGCTTTGTCCAGAGGAGAGGGAGTTGTGATTTCCTGTCCCCATTCCTCTCCATCCCCTGGGAGATGGCCAACAGGGTAGTTTGTGTGAGCCACTAGGGTCTCTACTAACTCAAGAGGTCCCTCCATGTGGGAAGCCCTGATCAGCAATCAGGTAACCCTAGATGGAAGATAAACTCACCCCTTGGTCCTCATACCCACCTAGGAAGGGACTCCTACTTGAGCCCCCTGAGTTAAAAAGGTTGGGTTTTGGGAATAGGGTTGGAAAGAGGAGTCAAAGGTCGTGGGAATGTGTAGATTACTTTTAGTTTTTGAGCCACTGGAACTTCTAGGCTGAGGAGTCCTATCTCTGAAAAACCTGGTTGGCTCCCAGTGTTCCTGAAGTAGTGTTAAATTTGTTTAATTTGAAGAAGCTTGTTCTATAGGTAAGGTAGTGGGAATTCTAAAACATAAATAATAAAGGCTACAGCTACCATAGTACCATGTACGTCTGATATTCACCAGCTGCATTGTGTATTACACAAGCCCCGGAACCACACCCAACTCACAGGGACATTTGTGAAATGAAAGATTCTGTCTCCATCACCCTCCCTAACATTGGTGTCTCAGACCCAGACCAGAAGCAAGATCCCTTGTGTCTGAAGCTCCTCTCGATCTCTGCTTTCCTTTGTCAGTCTGTAAATAAAGCAGGGCCATACTAGTCTTGTCCTCTCTCCCTGACAGTGCCCAGGCCAGAGTTCAACAGAGTCAGATGTCCAGGTGATACTTTCAGGGAAAGCCCTGGCCCATCTAGGGCTCTAGAAGCATGGGCAGGGCTATGCAGGCTCCAGTGCACAGTGGCTAGGCAAGCAGATTCCAGAATCCGATAGCTCTGGCTCAAATCCAGACTCTGATACTTATTAACTATGGGAAGTTGACAAGTCATTTCACTTCATGGAGTCTCTATTTCCACGTCTATCAAAGGAGATGGTAATAAAAATATACACCCTGCAGGCTCATTATCATGATTAGGCGATATGATAGGACACAACGGGCATCACAGGCAGGATTCCAGCAGAGTGGGGAGCTGCCCCTCTGAGACTCACTGCTGGCTGCCTGGCAAATTGAAAAGGGATGGCCTTTGCCAAAAGTTCATTTGTAGGAAGTTGATTGAACTGTGAGTCTGCTAAAAGAGCTGCCAAATAGGAGAAACTCTTGGAAAACACAAAGCACCTGGTAAGGAGTAGAAAAAAAAAAAAAAAAGGCTCAGGGCTGATGGGGGCAACTTCTATTACTCCTTGTGTGGAAAAGGGAAGGTAGTCTCTCCAGAAGGTGGTCTGGTGCTGTAGAAATTCTAGCAGCATTGAGCCACTGTTTTATCACTGCCCAAGCCTGTCTGTCCTCTTCCTTCTCGTCAGCTCAGTTCCAGGAACATTTACTAATACCTGCATTGGGCCAAGCAGTGATGGGCCCTGGACCCCAGCGGTAAGACCCTGCTCCTGCTCAGGTGATCCCTGTTGTATAATCACTGCTAGCAGGGCAGTCTGCCCCAGGTGTTTGCAAAGTTCCATCACACCCCTCTGCAGGTCCCACGCCATTCCGTTGTATTTTCTGTGACCAGTGATTTTCTGTGATCAGAGTCTGGAACTGTGAGGTTATAGACAGGCCCAGAAAGTGGGCAGAGATTAAGGCAACCATTTGACAGCCAAGAGAAGAGGGTGTGTAGGGAATTTGACTAATACAACATAGGTGGTCTGCACCAAATTCCCTTTTCCCACCAGCTGTACTCTAAGCAAGACCCGGCCGGGTAAGGGGAAGCGTACCAGCTAGAGTCTAGCTAGTCCAGGGTGGTCCAGAAGCAAAGCAAGGAGGGAGGTCCCCAGTCGGTACTGGAGGAGCTATGCTGTTCCCTTAAATCCAAAAGGGGGGCGCTGAGCCTTGCTTTCCAGCTACCTAAGCCATGGAGCTTAAGGTCCAACCCTTGCCTCTCCCTGGCAGTAGGGTACCGGCACTGCGGGTGTGGGGGTGTGCGCGCGGGGGTGGTGTTGCGGGGGAGGGCTCATCTCACACCGCACCCCGCCCCATCGGCCCTCCGTGGTCTCAGACCTGCGCTGATCTGGGTGGGGGCGCCAGGCCGCGCGTCCTCCGGGGCCGGCTGCTGCCCACGTGCGCCCGCGCGCGCCGCGGTGACAGCTGGCCCCCCGGGGCGGGGCTGCCGCGGAGCGAGGGTGGGCTCCGCGCGGTGCTGCCATTGGCCTCGGGCTTCGGGCCGGGGGTGGGGCCGCGCCCCCGGCTGCCCGGCCATTGGCTTCGCCGCCCGTGGGGGCGGATCCCAGCCCTGCAGGCGGCGCGGCGTTGGGCTGCAGGGGATCGCCGGGCAAGCCTGCGCGCGGCCCCTGCTCCCCACAGCTCCGCAGGCTGCCGTGGGTCCTGCCCCTGCTGTGGGTCCTGCCCGCGGCCCGAGGAGAAGGCAGGAGCGGCCCGAGGCCCGGCTGCGGCGGGGCTCTTGGTAAGGCGGGGTCGGCTCGGGGTGCTGGGGAGGGCAGGCGAGCGGGGGCCGTGCCAGCCCAGGCGGGACTCTTGCGCCCCGGCCCGCGCCCGGGAGGGTCAGGTGCGGCGCGGCATCTCCCGCCTTAAACCCACCCGGCCTGGCTCTGGGCGAGCAGGTGGCGCTAACCCAGGAGCCCGGGCTGCCCGGATCATTTTAGAACGCAATGAAGCTTCCCACCCCTACTCCCAACTCGCCTTACTCCGCCCCCCAATTCCCAAAGACGGCAATTCTAAGCCCAGAAAATCCCCAACGTCTACACGGAGTGGGCGCGACGCGCCTGCAGCATTGCCTGCCACCAGGGCAGAAGATCATTCCCAAACTTTGCTTCCCACCATCTGGACTCCGCACCGTTCCCGAGCTTCCCCAGCTCTTCACTAGGCAGCCCCCCAGCTCCGTCCCCCCGTCCTGTTCCCCTCCCTCCTTAACAACAGGAAGTTCAGTTGAGCCAAATGTCAGTGGCCTGGCCTCTTGGGGCTGGGACCCGGGCCCTGGTGGGGACCCGATGGCCCAGGCGCGGCCCTGCCCCTGCTCACTGCATATCCGGGACGCACCCCCCTGGGGTGTCTGCTGAGACAGACTTGCGGACTGGCGCGCCCTGAGAAGTGAGGTCTTGAGCGCAGCGCAGCCTCTGCTTACACTGACCTGGCTTCCAGGCCGGAGCAGGTGGGGTTAACTTTATCTTACACCAGCCTCTGGGCAGAATGGGGAAGGGCCTTTGCTGGATGGGGAAGAGGCGTGTTGAAACCAGAGTAAACGTGTGTCTCCTTCCACATTGTTTATTCTGAAGCCTGGGTTCTTAAAGCTGAAAGAACTTTTTTTGGAAGCCGGTGGGACTCCTCTGGACCTGTGGCAGCGTGCAGACCCTCCTACTGCCAGTCTCCCCTGCTCACTACAGTCTTCTGTGGTTTTCATGAAGGGTGAAGTCACTAATCTGCCCCTTCTGGGCAGGTCCTGCGGGAAGAAAGCCAGCGGCGGGTTGGTCCTCTGACGTTTGCGTGCCTGGGTGCCTTGGCACCTGCACCCGCTCTGTTACGGTCCCCTTCCCATGAGAAGTGGACCCAGTCAGTGGACCTTCAGTCTCCAGGGCAACCTCACCCAATGTTCTGAAGACTCTAAAGAACCCCCCTTCAGGCAGAGAGAAGACAGATTTATTAAGTGCCTACTGTGGGGACAGGTCCTGCCATGTGGCACTTTTGCGGCCAGTTTTACAAGTACCTTCCAAAAACTCTTGAGAGTTTTGCCCTCTACATTTTAGAGAGGACAAGAGAGACTCAGGGATGGTAAGAGCACAAGGTCACTCAGAAAGTGGCTGGGCCAGAATTTGAACTTGGCTCTGTCAGGTCCTGTCTTGCTTCCCAGTGGTTCTAGAAAGTGGTGATCATGGCCTTATATCATGCTGACCAGAGGCTCCTGGCTTCCAAAATGAATTTGTCCAAAGAGTTGGGAAATGCTTCTTTGGGATAGCACTGAAATCACCCCGGTTAGCTCTGCAAACCCCTTGCTCACTTTGTCCTTCCGTCAGGGGTGGTTGTGCTGTGATGAGGAGGAAGTGACTACTGGTGTGTGGATGTTACAGGTTGAGGGCAGGGTGAGTAGAGGAAACCTGTATCTGCCATTGACTTGGTTTCACCTCAACAAGTTGGCTTCTGGAATGGTCTAGGAGGGCCATTTTGTAGAAATAACTTCTATGTTAGGATTGATTCTAGTTTTATTTATACTTGAGGGGGGGCGGGGAAGCAGTTGTTTTCTCTCCCAGTAATAGCTGTAAGGTTATCGTGGTGCATAGTCCGAGCACACCTTTATAAAGTTACACCTCTGGCATTACTTTTTTCTCTGCCTCCCTCCTTCTTCAGACCCAAGGCTGAGTTTCTACTCATTCCTCTCTTCTCAAAGAAAGTCATGGTTATTCTATTCTCAGCCATTTACATTTTAATATAAATCAGCTTAAGGACTAAGTTCTGATTGTAGCTGTGGTCATTAGAGACCCATTTCCTGGAGCAGCTGCCTACGAACGGGGTGTGTCTCTGTTCTGGACCCGAACAGGGTGTGTCTCTGTTCTGTACCCGCTGTTCACATCCTCATATCATTTTGCCTCCCAGTCGTGGGCCTGATGCTCACTCCCTGTTACTGAAGGATAGCTTTAACTCTGGTGGGGTAGGGGAGAGTGCATGAAGATTTGGGCTGAGCATTGTCTCCTGGGGATAAGGGTCTTGTTTAGAAAACCCAGGGAATGGAGGAGTACTGTCGTCCATCGTGCTGGGATTTTTCATACTTTATATCATTAGAACCCCACATTAGTTCTCTGAAGTAGGAGGTGCGATTATTCCTATTTTACAGATGAGGAAACTGAGACTCAGGAAAGTTAAAACTTGCCCCCTGCACCTAGCTAGCAAGCAGCGCCATTAGGATTCTGGCTCAGTCTGTATGAGTGAGGCCTGCATGGTAAACCAAACGCAAGGGAAGGAGAAAAACCCTGTAGCCTTCTCGGAATTCTGGAGGCTTGGTGTACACAGCTCCCCTGCTGTTCTTACTGTTCCCCACTTCAGACTGTAATTACTTATAGACTTGTCTTCCATGCCATTATGAAATGGCACTGAAAACACTCGTAAACGTGATCATCCTCGCAAATCCTCTTTGCCCTTTGCCCTGTATTCCCTTCACATTTTATCCTAGTCTTCATAAGGTATCTACCACAATGTCTTGCAGTCTTCTATTTTAAAATATCATGAGCATTTTCAAACACAAAAATAGAATCATGTGATGAGTCCCATATACTCATTATCCAACTTCAGCAGTCAGCAAGATAATGCCATCTTTCCCCTTCCCTTCTGTTCTTTCCTCCTGAAGTATTTTAAAGCGAATCTCTGATATCATGTCATTTTGCCCCTATATAACCCAGTATATATCTATTTTCAGAGAACATTCTCTTTCTTAACTAAGTGCCATTATTGCATTTAACAGAATTTGCAGTAATTCTTCGGTCACATCAGTTCATATTCAGGTTTCCTTAACTGAGAAATAACCTTCATCGCTGGTTTGTTCAAATCCAGATCGCAACAGTGTGTGTGCTGCATTTGACTGTCGGTCCTTTTATGCCTGTTTTAAGCTAGAAGGCCCCCCTCCCCTGCAACCAGCTGTTTTACTCTCCCTTTTAAGCACCTCTCTCCCCTGCTGGACGGAAGGCCCTTGTGACAGGAGCTGGCTTGCGTGCTGGCTTGACACAGCGCTGTGTCTGGGATGGGGCAGAGGCACAGAGTGCATCTGTCCAATTGTGTCATAGCCACTCGGGAAATGTATTTTGAATGAATGAGCCCTGTTGTGGGTTTTTGTGATTGGCTATGCCTGTGTTAGATAAGAGGTTTTCAAAAACGATGACTTGCTCGCGTGTGGACGTTTCCTCGGCAAGCGTCAGTCTGTAAACATCCTGAAAGAATAGAACTTTTGGCTGTGCTCAGCGGCTCTGGTTGGTGCTGGGGAATCCAGACAGCCACGCTTGTGCCCTGATCACCAACCGGCCTCCCAGATCACATGTGGGCTTGATAGGGACTGACATCATTTCTGCCTGAACTTTGAATCCTGATTCATTCAGCCGTCGGGGATGGCCGTGTTGTGACCCGGGAGCTCCGTGTTTACGCTGAGTGCAGGCTGCACACACCCGCGTCCCTCTTTCTGGGCAGGTCATTATTTTATGCCTTCCCGAGCATTCTCTCCCTTGCCTTCTCCCTTGTAAATTGTGGGACCTTCTCAAATCATTCTTCATGGGCCACTGGCGGGTTGTGTCGGGAAATGAGCACGTATGACCTCCCAGCTTCTTGCATGAATGTGTGGTGAGGAGATAATATCCTCCCGGCACCTTCGTGGGCGTCCTAATGAAGAAGACAGAGGTGATGAGAGAAGGAACAGGTGTGCTCGCTCCCCTTGATGATGCGCGGCGCACCTGCTTCCTGGGCAGACTCCAGAAGGTCTGCCCCACCCAGCAGGGCCCCTCTGCTAGCAGCCCCTCAAATGGGCTTCCTTCCTCCCCACCCCCCGGCCCCCAACATTTACATGAACTCTTTCTGGATCGTAGTGGACTTTTCTCCTTTATCTTTTACTCTCAGTATTTCTCCCCAATTTTTATACTGAAAGCATTTTATTTTTCTGAAGGAAAATCCAAATATTTGTTTTTTTATTTTCTCTTAAAAAGGAGACAATTTCCTTCAGCTGATTTGGATGGGTAGATGTAAAGGCAGGAAGGGCCAGAGCAGGATCTCTATGACCTGAGCAGACGGGGTGAAGGAGGAGTCCTGGAGCCCTCAGTGGCTTTTTCAAGCTTTTATTGGGATTTACCAGGTACATGGCAGGCAGAGGTACAGGGTGGGGGAACTGGGGGGCGGTGGCCAGGAGGCTGGCAGGCCTGCCCACCCCCAGCAAATCTTCACTCTCTCTGGGTTCTCCAGCCTTCTCTCGTGTTCTCTCTGCTTCTCTCGTGGTTCTGCTGGCATCCCCGTGACGCCAACCTTATAAGCCCAGTATGAGCCCAGGTGAATCCCATCTACCTATGCCCACACCCGACTCCAGGTGCCCGCCATCAGGCATGCATTAGGGACCGCAAGGATCCATCATCTCTCCTGATGGCGGGAGGGCAGAAAAGCCCGATATCATTTACTTACCCTACAGTAGACAAAATTTTATGTGCATTTGCAACAGCTTGTTTATAAGGAGTAGGCCCCAGAGCCACTGGGATTTTGATAATTTTATGACATTATTCTAAAGAACATATCTGGGCTCCCTAAGAGAAAATTAAAATTAAAAAGCTTAGAGGTCGGGCAGCTCATATATTCGTGGAGCGCTGCCCTGTCTCCTGTTCTACCTCCTCCCTTTTCTTCCTGAGAATTTCATTTTGGTCTCCCGCAGATGAAATCATTCTAATGGTAGTCTCCTGATTTTGATATTCTTTAATTCAGGGAGGATGAGAT